CTGGGAATGTAGATCAGTGGTAAAGTGCTCTAAATTTAATCCCAAGTACTGCAAAAAAAAGAAAAGACAGACTGCAGCACATGGGTTAATACGGGTTAATACACAAAACTCTTAGAATAGTGCTTTGGCATATGAGATGAGCTCATGCAAATRCTAGTTATTATTATTACATGAGCTGAGCGATATAGTAGTTCTGCCAGCTAATATCCAGTGACTGCTCTTGTGGATTAGTTGCCAAGGATCCAGACAGGGTGAATTAAGTCAGCATTCAGTCCTCTGGGGAGAGAGACAGCCACAAGTAGGTGTGACTCACAGCATTCATGCTAAAAGTGCCAGAAGAGAAACAGTATTTAGATATAAAGGGAAGAGATGATTATATCTTTCCCACTCTACCACAGCCCCTCCTCCTCCATTTCTCATCAGACTGAGCAGCCCCAATGTCTTAGTTARAACTCTGGGAGGTTAGGAATATATTCAGTGGTATAACATTTGCCTAGCATCTGGGAGGCCCTGAGTTCCACCCCCAGCACCACAAAACAAAACAAAACAAAAAAACCCTACATCACTCTGAACTCCTCTCATCCTCACCCTCCACAAGTATATCCAGTTGATTTCCATCAAAAAAAATTGGTCTCCTTTTCTCCATACCTTCCAACCCCTGCCCTGRGTTCAGACTCTGATCTTCCCAGAATTATTATTATTTTTTAAATTAATTTTTAGTTTTCGGTGGACACATCTTTATTTTAATGTGGTTCTGAGGATGGAACCCAGCGCCCCACACATGCCAGGCAAGCGTGCTACTGCTTGAGCCACATCCCCAGCCCTTCCCAGAATTATTGAATAGCCTTTAAATAGCATGCAAGCCACACATGACGGCACATACCTGTTTAACTCAGGAGGTTGAGGCACAAGGGTTGCAAGTTTGTGGCCAACCTCATCAATTTAGCAAGACCCTGTGTCAAAATAAAAARGGACTGGGGATATAGTTTGGAAAAGTGCCCAGTACCCAGAAAAAAATTAGAAGACCCGTTTTTGCCACTTTGTATGTAYGTTCTGTGCTATTTTTGGGTGGCGGGGTTGGGGGATACCAGGGATTGAACACAGGATTGCTTAAACACTGAGCCACATAGCACTGAGCACTGAGCCCTTTTTATTTTTTATTTTGAGACGGGATCTTGCTAAATTGCTTAGGGCCTCGCTAAATTGCTGAGGCTGGCTTTGAACTTTTGATCCTCCTGCTTTCACCTCTTGAGTCACTGGGATTACAGGCATGCACCCCGTCGCACAGCTACTTCACATTCATTTTCTATGTAGCACTGATCTTTTTGAAATCATTCTATGATTTGATAGACACCAACACAGTCATTATCTACTAAATTTTCCCATGTGATGCTTTTGTGTTGTTTTTGGGCATGCAGAAATCCATTCTGAATGTATTCATAGCAGACCACAAATTTGGCAGAAACAATACTGATGAGTGAACAGCAACACCCATACTTCTTATCCTGCTTTAAACATAATTTTGTGTTTGTCTTTGTGGTATTAGGGAACAAACCTAGGGTMTCATGTGTGGCAAGCAAGTACTGTACCATTGAACTGTACCCCCAGCTCTTATAATTATTTTCAAACACGTCAGTGTGAAACTTAACTAGCTTCTTCAAGCAAATACAACTTTAATTCATTAGGAGCTCCTYGGGCTAGGCATGGTGGTACACACTTGAAATCCTAGTGGCTCTGAGGCTGAGGCAGGAGGATCACAATTTCAAAGCCAGCCTCAGCAACTTAGTGAGGTCCTAAGCAACACAGTGAGATCCCACCTCAAAGTAAAAGGTTTGGGGATGTGATTGTGCCCCTGGTTCAATCCCTGGAGAAAGAAAGAAAGAGAGGGGGGGAGGGAGGGAGGGAGGAAGGAAGGGGAGAGGGAGAGAGGGAGGGAGGGAGGAAGAGAGAGAGGGAAAGAGAAAGAGAGAAAGAGAGAGAGAGAGAGAGAAAGAACTCATGGAATTTCATTAGCTGGAAGGAATGCCAATATAGACAAATGATTTTTAAACCAAATTTTCCTTCCTTGCCATATTACATGGCCTATCAATCTACCCATCTGACTTTTCTGCATTGGTATGAATGGAAAAAATGAACGTTATTGGTAACATCTTGAAATTCACTTTTARAATGTTTGATCCCACCTAATTCCAAATCTGTCATTATGGTTTGGGATTTAAATTGAATTGGCTCACATGATTGTGGTGGCTGAGAAGTCCCACCACAGGCTGTCTAGAGACCCTAGGATTCCATTGGCATRGTTCAGTCTAAGTCCAGAGGCTTCATCTTGGAACCAGAGACACTGACTCCCAATTGGAGGCTAACCACCTGAACTCTTCTGAGGCTGAACACCTGAAGAATGCCTGAAGTGCTGGTGTTRAGTCCTAGGGTCCAAAGGTCAGCCAGTCTGGACTTCTAGTGTCTAGATAGAAGAAAAAAACTCTATCCCAGCTCTGAGAGAGATCACTCACCTTCTGTATTTGTTTCTCTAGGCCTCCAGCCTATGTATGGAATGAGGCCTGCCCACGTTTGAGGGCAKATCTTCCCCACTTAGTCCACTTGGGTTCACACATTTATCTCTGGAAACATCCTCACAGACACACCCAAAATAATGCTTTACTAAGTTTCTAGGTGTTCTTCTGCTCAACATGATGCAGCTATCCTGCTTATAACCTAAAACTGGGTGCAATGGTGAATGTCTATAGTTCTACCTACCCAGTAGAATGATGAGGAAGATAAGTTCCTTGGAGCCAAGTTTGGGGCCAGCCTGTATAACAAACTGAAACTTGGTCTCTTAGGAAAAAAAAAACAACACACTAATTCCTTCCCAGAATTCAGTATTTCACTGCTTTTTTTTTTTTTTTTTTTTTTTTTTTTGTGCTGAGGACTGAGCCCATGGCCTTGTGCATGCGATGTAACTGTTCTATCAACTAAGTGTTTACGTATATCTTGAAACAGGATTTCACAAAATTGGCAGGCTAGCCTCGAACTTKCGATCCTGCTGCTCCAGTCTGCTGGGATTACAGGTGTCTGCCACCAGGTCTGGCTCTTTTTTAAATTGGCATTGCAGTTTTCACGATTTCCACTTTCTTTCATGATTTCAATATCTTGGATTTTAATCTTTTAGGATTGCTATTTTCAGATTTTTATTTTTGTTTATTTCTTTATTTTTGCATTGATGGGGATGGAACCCAGGGCTTCATGCATGCCAGGCAAACAGTTTACCACTAAGCTACATCCTCAGCCCTGATTTTTAGGATTTTAGACTTTAGGGATTTTGATCTTTTGTGACTTCAACAATCAGAAATATGGGGGTGGTTGTTGTCTTTGGGGATTATGATCAATATAGAGCCTCCATGTTTATCAGACAAAGACCCATGTATTAGAACTTTTCCAGCTCTCCTACACTATCTTGAACAGGTTGGTATAACTGTCACCCTTACAGTTCTCTAACACCCCCCACCCCCCTGTCCTGGGGATCCAATCTGATTGCATGCTAAGCAAACTCTCTTTATTTTTAAAGATTTGTGTGCTTGCCCATTTAAACTGATAGTACTCCAAGGTCAGATCTGGAATTTGTCAACTGCTTATGCCAATCATCTAGTTGAGCACTAAGGCTCATGTGAAGAATTTAAAACAAACAAAAAAAAAAAAGTGGTTACCCCTCCTCATCATTGGCAAAGGGGCTGAAGACATTTTTCTGYCTCTCTTCCTACAAAAGCAGATCCTGGAAGCATGTTTCCAGGGTCCTGGGTCCCCTAACTAGAACATAGCCCTAGCCAGGGCCCCACCAGCATGCAAAAAGGGTTTATTTYTTCAGCCTCTTTTTGGGCTTAGCTTTTGCAGGGTTGTCAGCCTGTCCCCAGTCTTTCTAGCAGCTTCTTTCTTTGTGTCTCTGTCTTTGTCTCTGCCTGTTTTCACTGACTGCTGTCCTTTGTTTCTCTGACTCTGGGTCTGATTCCCTCCACGCTGCTTGCTTCTTTTTCTTATGGCTCCTAAGACTGCTTCAATGCCTTTATAGCTATCTCTTATTCTTTCTACATCTCTTTGTTTCTGGTGGYAAATCTTTTGCCCCTGTATTTTTGATCAGCCGAGCCCTTTTTGATTCAGGGCTTTTACATTAAGACTGTGTGAGTCTGGTTCAGGGTCTATTTGGGAGCTGCAGGTCTGATTGCATCTGCCCCCTCTCCCTAGCAGCATTTACYAGACGTTCCCCTCTAGTCCCTGCTCCTGCCTCGGTCTCCCCTAGCCCAGCCCCCACCGCGGTACTCGGCCTCTCGGACCAGCCGTGCTTTGTTTCCCGTGTCTCAGCGCCCCGCCCCGCCCCGTCTGGGGTCTCCGCCGCCCTTTGTCTGCCTTGGTCTCTCCCCCAATCCTTTCCCTGGGTCCGTCTCCGGATTCCTCTTTCTTTGTCTCTCCCAGGCTAGGGTGGCTGGCGCTGCCCGCCAGCCCCCGAGGTCTGCGCCGGTGGCCAGAGACACAGCGACATTTAGGAAGAGTCTTCAGCCCTTATCACCCAGCTGCAGCCCAGGAGGCACACGGTTAATACCACCGAGTTCGGGCCACTATCTTCGGCTTAGAGTAGCCCACCAGGCTGCACGCAGCCACCCGCGGGCCACAGAGCTCCCGCCAACACCGGCATCCCTAACTGGCGTGCAGCTCCTCCCAGATCCTAGAGCGGCTCTGTACGCCCCAGCGCTTCCGCTTCCCGTCCCCGCCCCCGGCGGCCGCCCCCGGGACGCCTGGGACCGGGCCCCCTCCCGTGTTGGCGCGGATCCCGCATCTCGGAGCCGCCGGTGGCTCGGGTACCCGCACCCTGCAGAGGAACTTGGGAGGGCACCGGGTGGCTGAGCTGGAGGCGGCTGACGAGGTGAGAGGGACGGCTGTGTGCTGGGAGGAGGAGCAGCAGGTGCAGGGGTGGCCGGTGGCGCCGGCGGGAGTTACCGGGAACCGCGCCCGGTGTCGGGTGCCCGCGCCGGCCGACAGAGGGCAGCGGCAAGGTCCGCGGGCCGCACATGGTTGTGGTGACCACAGGATTATGTGTCTGTCCCCTTGCCCAGGGCGGCGTACTGGCGATGGAACGCGCCGTAGAACCCTGGGGTTCGGATCTCCGTGGCCCAGAGGAGAGGGAGCGGTTAAGAAGCGCCCGCACAGGTGAGAGCCGCGGCCGTGCGCTGCACAGACAGGTAATAGCTGGGTGGGGACTCCAGTGCTGGGCTCTGCCCCACCGAGAAAAATTGGACGTAAGCTGTGTCTCCAAGGAGAGAGGGGGAGGGGAGCAAAAACCAAAGGAAGGAGCCAACGTTTCTGAGTACCTACTGTGTGCCAGGCCTTTATGGGCATCTTCTCAAGGACTCYTCCCCTCCCCCACAGTCTTCACCTCTGCCCTTTTCTCTCCAATGATGCACTCTGCAGGCAAATTGATCCAATTCCAGATCTAATCCTGTCTTTCTACTCAAAAACCTTCCTAGCTCCCCCCTGGCTACTAATTAAAGCCTTATACTTAGCCTAGCGTTCAATCCAAATCTTGCATGCTCAAACTAGTCCCAACAACCGTTTCTAGCTTTATCTTCCATTCCTCTCCACGATTTTCTCTTTGCTGTGAATGCCATTCTCTGTCTCCTTGTTTTTTCTGCTGTGACATCGCACAGCAATTGTAGAAGCCCTATAATTGTTCTGAACCCACAGTTATAATTACTGATACTTTATCTCTCCCACCACCCCTAAGCATCTTGAGAGATGTATGTGAGAAGACACAGGAAGACTGAAGTAATAAATTACAGAATAGGCTAATATAACAAAGTACAATAGAAAGAGCAAATACCAAGTTTTCCATATAAAGRCAATAAAACGTTTTTGGGTTCAGACAGATCTGAGTTAAAAGCTGGCTTGGCTACTTTCTAACTTAGAACAAATCACTTATATTCTCTGCATTTCCATGATTGTAAAATGGGGATAGTAACATAATAGTATTACCTTCTAGGATTGTTTGCAAGGATACAGTATTACTTAGTTATATGTATTTGCATATAGTTAAATATATTGACATATATTTAGGACATAGTAAAAGGAAGTCATTACCATTGTTATTGAAAGGCACAGATAATAAGTGCTTCAAAAGTTCAGAGGAGAAAGAGATCCATTGTCAAGGAAGTCTTCCTGGAGAGGTGGTGGGGTGTGTAGCTCAGTGCTGTAGAAGGATTGCTGAAGGCCCTGGGTTTCATTCCCAGSACTTCCCGCTCCCCGCACCACACACCAAAGAGGCTAAGTCAAAAGGTGAGAGCTACAATTCCTTTTTCTTTTCCTAGGTCTAGGGAGTGAGAATGTGGTGATTTCTCAGTCAGATGTGTTTGAACACACCCCACCAGAGGAGGATGACTTGGGGTTCAAGGAAGAAGAAGATTTGGCCTCAGGTCATGAAGTAGGAAATGATTCTCTCAAACCTGAAGGTATCCAGACCTGGGATGACTTATGGGTTCAGAGAGAGGGACTAGGAAAGCCTCAGCCTCGGAATCGAGGCCCCCGGGTCCTGGGAGAACCACGCTGGGGCCAGGCTAGTGGTGATCGAACTGCGGTGTGCGGTGAGTGTGGCAAGAGCTTCCGGCAGATGTCAGATCTGGTAAAACACCAGCGGACTCACACAGGGGAGAAACCTTACAAGTGCGGGGTCTGTGGCAAGGGCTTTGGAGATAGCTCAGCCCGCATTAAACACCAGCGAACTCACAGTGGTGAGAAACCCTATAGGGCCCGGCCACCAGCCCAGGGTCCCCCAAAGATTCCTCGGCCTCGGATACCTGCTGGTGAGCGCCCCACTATCTGTGGTGAATGTGGCAAGAGTTTCCGGCAGAGTTCTGATCTGGTGAAACACCAGCGAACGCACACTGGTGAGAAGCCCTACAAGTGTGCCATCTGTGGCAAGGGCTTTGGTGACAGTTCTGCCCGCATAAAACACCAGCGGACACACCGGGGGGAGCAAGCCCCCCGGCCAGTGGTGCCCCGCCGGCAGCCATCTCGAGCAGCCACAACAACTGCACAGGGACCCAAGGCCCAGGACAAGCCATATATTTGCACTGATTGTGGCAAACGGTTTGTGCTAAGTTGCAGCCTCCTGAGCCACCAACGCAGTCACCTGGGTCCCAAACCCTTTGGCTGTGATGTGTGCGGAAAGGAGTTTGCCCGGGGCTCCGATCTGGTGAAACACCTGCGGGTGCACACAGGAGARAAGCCCTACTTGTGCCCTGAATGTGGCAAGGGCTTTGCTGACAGCTCTGCCCGGGTTAAGCACCTCCGCACACACAGTGGCGAGAGACCTCATGCCTGCCCAGAATGTGACCGCACCTTCAGCCTCAGTTCCACACTTCTTCGCCACCGCCTCACTCACATGGAGCCCCAGGACTTCAGCTTTCCAGCTTACCCTGTAGCCCCTTTGATCCCCAGCCCACCTCCACCTCCTCTTGGCACCAGCCCCCCACTGACACCTCGAAGCCCTTCACACCCTGGCGATGGGCCTTTTGGCCTGCCTGGCTTGGAGTCTGAGCCTGGAGGCCCACAGGCTGGGGAGCCACCCCCACCACTGGCTGGTGACAAGCCTCACAAATGTCCCGAGTGTGGCAAGGGCTTCCGCCGAAGCTCTGACCTGGTGAAACACCATCGAGTACACACTGGGGAGAAACCCTACCTCTGTCCTGAATGCGGCAAGGGTTTTGCTGACAGCTCGGCCAGAGTCAAGCACCTCCGAACCCACCGTGGTGAACGTGCCCGGCCACCACCACCATCTACTCTCCTACGGCCACATAACCCACCTGGCCCAGCACCCACGGCTCCTCGACCTCGAGTCCGGGCCCAGCCCTCTGGACCCAGCCAGCCCCAYGTGTGTGGCTTCTGTGGGAAGGAATTCCCCCGGAGCTCAGATCTGGTCAAACATAGGCGCACACATACTGGGGAGAAGCCATACAAGTGTGCAGAGTGTGGCAAGGGTTTTGGTGACAGTTCTGCCCGTATCAAGCACCAGCGAGGGCACCTGGTTCTGAGGCCCTTTGGGATAGGGGATGGTCGGGCAAGGCCTCTCAAAGAGGAACCACCAGTGGGACTAGAATGATAGGGTCCAGGGAAGGTGGAAGCCCAGGAAACCAAAGGGAGGGTTATCTGCTGCTGAAGCAGAGTAGAAAGGGCCTGGGAGGTGGTGGGAGGGAAACGAAGGGGAAGAAATGGGAGAAAGGAATGAATAGATAGAAATTGGAGACCATAACATTGATGCTCAGGAAACTGTCCTGGCTTGGTGTTAGGACCTTGCCAGTATGGGCTACACCCTCAAATTCTAGAACACTGCCTAGCACGCAGTAAGCACTCAGTAAATACTAATTTGAAATTTAGAAACTGGCCTTAGCCTGAAAACTCTTTAAAGAACTCCAAATTCCTGCTGCTTGACTGATAAGAACTACTCCTCCCAAACTTGCCATGGGAGACCAACACCCTGAATCAATTTGTTTGACCCTATGAGGTGCAGCAAAGGGAAATCTGGAATTTAYGGTGTCAAATGAGGCAGGGCATCTTGATCATCATGATGGGGACAGTATTGCTGTATGGTAGGTAGATCAACTCCTAACCTTGGGTCACTGGACATGGTCTTAGCCAGGAAGAGCACTCTTGGATAGAACCCAGATCTATGTCCCTTGAGGACCTGGACCCACCCTGACACCTGGTCACTGGTGAAATAGCAGGAGGAGTGTTCATGGCATCCAGCCTGAATGCTACATCCAGGTTCTGGTGGCCATCAGCAGAAACCAGCTGATTGGGCAAGGGCAGGACTAGAGAGAGGAGAAGCCCCAGAGGCTAGGGATGCTGCAAGGCCTGACAGCCATTTTCATGTGTCTCCTTACTAATAAACTGTTTCTTGTCTGAGGCTTGGACTCTGTAGGGGTGTGTGGTTGTGTATACACATGTATGTACATGCAGGACAAGGGTTGAAAGAGTATAAATGTGACACCACAGGCAAAACCCTCAAAGGATTTGTAAACTTGTGCAGGTCCCTTGTGCTCTTTGTCCCATTAAATAGGTTATACTGGCAGAGTCAGCCACTTTCTACCTTTCACAGTGGGTTTTAAAAGGGCCACCAGATTCAGATTCGTCAACAAATGCCAGAGGCCTAAGGTCTAACAGCCCATAGGCACCAGCCTGGAACATGATACTTAAAAGGAAAATTGTGCGACGCTGAGGGAGGGAGGGAGGGCAAGCTAYGGGGAATAGGTGAGAAGTGGCTTTTAGCCTGCCTAAGTGTTGCAGACCCACGTAGCCCAGAAAGTCCCAACACAGATGCACGGCCTATGGGGACACTGGGAAACTTAGCTTCCCTGGGGCCCTTTTATGTATCAAGAAACATCATCTGGTTGCAAAGTCCAAAGGGAGGGTTAAACAGGTTGCTTTCTAATCCCTTGCAAAGGACAACCGAATTTACCAGCACCCATCCCATCCTCAGGAGCAGGGCTCCGATTCCTGACTCGTTCCAAGGAGAACGCCAATAGGGAGGAAGGAAATAGAGGAACTCCCCTGATTGGCTGGGAACTAAAAACATTACGCCMCTTCATCCTTTTAAGCAATATTTGATTGCTTTGCAAATTCTCCAGTCCGATTCTCTGCTAATGGTCGAGCGAGAATAGTCCTGGGTGGAAGTTCACGCGAGATTTTAGCCACCCGACACGCTGCCCTAGAAACCAGTGAAAGCTTACTGTAAGAAGGGCCCTACCGATCCTTCCACCCCTGCCAAAGTGCACTCGCTGAATACCCAGAACTTTGCGTCCAGGGCGGGGATTCTAAGCAACTTCCGGCTAAAGGTGCACCGGTATCCATTGGCCTGAATGGAGTCTTTCGGAGATTTTGGAAGATCATCCTTGCTGTTTTCCCTATCTTTTTACTCTATCAGTTCGGCTTCCAAGCTAATTTCAGTGAACTTGGTAAAACTACATCTGGTCAAGTTACATCCCCCGCCCCCGCCGTGGAAAACATTTGCCCTATCTTCCCATTCCCTCTCTGTAAAGCTTAACACTTGATTGGCATTCACGGCTGAACATTTGTGTGGTTTCAGCTCTGTGCCTTTTAAATTTTGTTTCCTTTGTTGGGGGATGTGGCTCAGTGGTAGGCTAGGTGCGGTGGCGGTGCCTGTAGACAGGATGTTCTCTTTTACCTAGGTGTTTGAAGGTGTTTGAAGCCAGCCTATGCAACAAAGCAAAACCCCATCTCTCAMAGAAAAAAAATCAAATAATAATAAGAAAAACAAAACTATGGGAGATGATTTGTTTTATGCAGAATAAAAAGAACGCACGAAATCCTCAGGGATTCAAGATGAGGTCAAGGGCTGGGGTTGTGGCTCAGTGGTAGAGCAGGTGTCTGGCATGTGTAAGACCCTGGGTTTGATCCTCAGCACCACATATAAATAAAATAAAGATCCATTGACAATTTAAAAAATAATAATAAAAGAATGAAGTCAAGTTCTAAATTCAATTTTCTACTCCTAGTCCTAGGAAGGACCTAGCATCTATAGACTTCACTAAATGCTTTTGTGAAGGGTATCCCTGAAACATGATCTGCTCTTCATAAGAGTTTACAATCCCACAAACTCCTTGCCATCTGTTGCACTCCCTCTTTGAAGGCCCTTCACATTTATCCCCTTGGCATTTATCTCAGAGAGGCCTGCACCCAATGCCTGTTCCTCTCAGGGAGTTGTTCACTCATTTCACTACTCTTCTGCCAGAAGACCTATTGTCCTTTTGCCTACTGTCCTTTTTGTGTGTTCATAGATGATTCATAATTATATCAATTTTTAACAGTGCTGGGGATCAAACTCAGGGCCTTGCACATGCTAAGCATTTTTATCACAATCTATGTGACTGTGTGTGTTTTAGTTACTGGGGATTGAACCCAGGATCTCACTAGGAAAGAACTCTGTCACTGAGCTACAGCTACAGCCCTATCACAATCTTCTACTCTATTGAGTATGAGACTCTCAAGAGCAGAAACCACATGTGATTGCAAACATGTTTGCAGAGCAATTGGATGGAGCCCCTTTTCCTTGTGTTAGTAACAGTAGGTGCCTCCTTTCACTTGCTGAGTCTCCTCAATGATTCTCTCTGCCTTTGTTGGAGATGCAGCTATAATCTGATCCCTACTTACTGCATCTTGTCTACTACATTTACCCTTGCTAGTACACTCGGATCCAGTAACACAAATCTTCTATTTCTGAGGCATATAGAGTTCCTTTTCCTTTTCTTTCTTTTGGTGGTGCTGGGGATTAAACCTAGGGCCTTGTGCATGCAAGGCAGGCACTCTACCAACTGAGATATAGCCCCAGCTCCTCCTTTCTCTTTTTTGAGACAGATCTTGCTATGTTGCCTATGTTGGCCTTGAACTCCTATGTTCAATCAATCCTTCTGCCTTAGCTTCCTGAGTGGATGGGGACTATAGGTGCATAACTCAGTACCTGACTTAAACATGCCAACTTTATGCTTCAAGGCCTCTGCAGTTCTGTCTCAAACATTCCTCCAGATTTTCAAATGGTTAACCTTTCTAATCATTCCAGGTTCATATTATTTCTTCAGAGATGCCACATTAAAGAAACCCTCCAACCATAGCCACTCCCTATTGGATCATCTTGCCCTTATTTTTTCATAAATTATCATATTTATTTGCTTATTCACTTTTTTTTTCATGGTGGAATCCAGAGCCTTACACCTGCTAGGTGAGTGCTRTATGACTGAGCTACACTCCCTGTCACGTCACATGTTTATAATTTTTACACCTTTTTAAATGCCACATAAACCAGTTTCTTTGTTTTATTTACTATGCCTAGAATGGTTTCAGGTACACAGTAGAACTCATTAAATACTTGAATAGAAAATGAACACAAGGCTGGGCTTGGTGGTATAGGCCTGTAAACCCAGCAACTCGGGAGGCTGAGGCAGGATGATAGCAAGTTCAAGGCCAGCCTCAGCAATTTAGCAAGGCCTTAAGCAACTTATTGAGACACTGCCTGAAAACAAACAAATAAAAGGGCTTGGAGATGTGGTTCGGTGGTAAAGTGCCTCTGGGTTCAATCCCCAGTACCAAAAAAAAAAAAAAAAAAAAAAGGAAAAAAACACAAAGTAGTTTTGGAGGAATCTCGCATGTGATATTTGGACATTTTTCCCTCTTCTCTCAGCTCTGTGGAAGAACTAAAATTGTACTGTGGAAGAACTCCAAATTATGCCCCAGGCTTTGCAGATGGATGATCCAGTTGAGTCCTGAATCTGCCATGAATTTCCTTGGTATAATTTCATTACCAAGATAGAATTTAATGCAATAGAATAACAAACTTGGACTCTGCTGCTTACGAGATGTGAGACTTTGAGCAAATTACTTAGGGCTGAGTTTTTCCTTGGTAAAATGGAGATATTGATCCCCATAGGACTATTGTAAAGAAACAACATTGTAAATACTTACTGCATGTTATTTCTTTTCTTCCATTCTGAATCTTGGATGCCCCATTCATAAATTGGGAGAATTAGGTACATATGGCTTGTTCAAGAGAAGTGGGAAATTTCTATATGTAATATTCCAACTTTTTCTTCCTTTTTTACTGCTGGGGATTGAACCTAGTCATGCTATGCAAATGCTCTACCACTGAGCTACGCTCCSTTATCCCACTTTTTTTTTTTTTTTTGGTTATAAGTGGACACAGTATCTTTATATTATTTTATGTGGTGCTGAGGATAGAACCCAGTGTCTCATGCATGGTAGGCGAGCCCTCTCTGAGCCACAATCTCAGCCCCCATATCCCCAACATATTAAATGTTGTAAGTTAAAATTTGTAAAAGATCTCTCTTCTGTTTTGAAACTAACTTTGTGTGTGTGTGTGTGTGTGAGAGAGAGAGAGAGAGAGAGAGAGAGAGAGAGATACTGGGGTTTGAATCCAAAGATCTTCTACCACTGAGCTACATCCAGAGCCCTTTTTATATTTTGAGACAGTGTCTCACTAAGTTACCCATGATGGCCTTGAACTTGAGATACTCCTGCCTCAGCCTCAAGAGTCTCTGGGGTATAGGCCTGGGCCACCACGTTCACAAAACTAATTTTTAAAAGTTGCCAGGTGTGGTAGCATGGCCTATAATCCCAGCTGTTCAGAGGCTGAAATAGGAGAATCGTGAATTCAAGACCAGCCTCAGCAATTTTAGGGAGGCTCTAAACAACTTAGTGAGACCCTGTGTCAAAATAAAAAATTAAAAGGGCTGGGGATGTARCTCAGTGGTAACTTGCCTGTGGGTTCAATCCTCAGCGCGCACACACACAAAAAAAAAAAAAGAAAGAAAGAAAAGAAAAGAAAGAAAAATATCCCGAGAGCTTCTAATTTTCCCTCTGGGCTACCAATTGTCAGGAATGCTATGACACTCCTACCGTGTAACTTAGGCAAAGCAATTTACCTCCCAGAACTTCATTTAGCTCATCTGTAAAACGGGCCATGATCCTTACTGTGAAGATCAAAGGAAATCAAGCGTGTAAAAACTCTTAGCATAACTGGAGCATAGTAGTCACAGCACTCAATAAATGGCAGCGGTAACTTGCATGGTTGTTGCTTCGGGTAGTATGTATTCAAGAAGTAAGGTATCCCGTAGGCCAGAGGATAAGGAAAGGAGATGCGGGGAAAGGAAAAAAGGGCAAAGGAAAGAAAGAGGGAAGAGGTGAGGAGGCAACAGGGTCCGCCCTCCAGGCGGGGTGCCAGCGTGAGGCCCAGGCCGGGGTGGGAGCGCACGTGGCCTATTTCGGGCGGTGCAGACACATTTGGCGTAGAGAAAACTAACGAGCCAGGCCCGGAGACTAGCCTTGAGGGTAGGTAGCGGTGGCGAGGACCCTGAACGCTGGGCTTGGGTGGCTCC